GAGGGCCCGATGCGAATTGCCTCCGCCTCTACATGTGGGTGGTTCGGTCCATGGCTTTATATGGAGCCTCTATGTGGGATGGGGCTCTGATGGAAAGAACCATCGCCTCCCTGAGAAGGCCCTAGAGAGCGATGGCGGTCGGAGTCGTACGAGGATACCGGACGATCTCCCATGAGGTGGCATGCGTTTTGGCGGCGTCCCCCTGGGACCCTGGGATATAGAGGCGGAGTTTCTTGCATCTATGTACGATTAGCGCTCGGAACTTCAACACCGAGGGTACCGCCCCTATCCCATTAAGTGGCAATTGCTAAAGCTCAAGTGGCAAGAGGAAGCAGCGTCTAGCCCACCCAAAGGCAGGAAGCAGGACTGTCGAGGCTGTTCATCCGGTCCTGTCAGACTGGACGAACAATCAGCACGACTCACTGACCTTCCGGCTGGTGCAGATGCTTTCCGGGAATGGGTGCTTTGGTAAGTATCTGTGCCGAGAGCCGACAACTAAGTGCCACCACTGTGGTAGTGACGAAGACACGGCGCAGCATACCCTGGAGGGTTGACCGGCTTGGGCTGAGTTGTATTGTGACCTCGTGGCTGTAGTGGGGGACGACCTCTCACTCCCAGCTTTCATTAAAGCTGTGGTTAGATACGAGAGGGTGTGGAGTGCTGGCGTTACCTTCTGCAAACAAGTGATGTCACAGAAGGAGGCCGCAGAGAAGGAGAGGGAAAAACGGCAACTATCCCGATCCGCAGCCGTAGAGCTAGGCGCCGGAGAAGAACATATCAGGCACTCCTCCACCCCCCATAATTGAAGCTTAGGGGGCGGACACGGGGGTTGTCCGTCGGCTCTTATGTAGGCCCTCGAGGTGGCACGTACGGTGTGATTGTAAGCCCCTACAAGAAGAAGTCATCGAGTCGGACCCTGTAAGGCCTGTCGCCGTCGGGGCAGCAGTAGTGTGGATAAGCGTTCCCGTAGCCCCGACTAATGGTGAAGAGATGAACTTAGTGGGGTTTTGGCGGGTAGAAGTCGGGCATAACCTGTCTTACGCCTACGCGACAGACGGGTATCCATGAGGATTTTCCCACGTAAAAAAAAGGTTTAGTCATGTCTTGACTGCGGACGTCATTTTCATAAATTAATAAGCATCTTAAGACAAACCGTGAACTGCACTCCCGCTATTCCATTATCTCTTTTTCAATACATTACCGTTTAAACATACAGTATTGTAAGAATGCCTAGGTAAAGTACGAAATAAATAATATTTTATACATTACCTGTATATTTTAAGTATTCAATAGAATACTTTGGTATTCTATATAATACCGGATTATACAGATTAGCGATAACACATTTATGTCTATTTGCCACGCTCTGTAGCCATTATATATGTCATTATATTTGTCTTAATTGTGGAAATGACATGTGTTATATAAAACTGCATTGCTTTGAAATACGGAACAAAGGTTTTTATCGCGTAACTTATTTATTACTGTTTTATTTTTTTAATTCCCACTGTTTTCGGGCTTGTTTCCAGCCCCATGGCCTGTGGACTGAGATGTACAATTGACATATTCCCGATGTCATTGTTAAACCCGGAGTAACTTCAGCTTTTATTAATTATTGTTTATGGTCCGATTACGCAAAATTTGAACTGGACGATGTCCTTAGGTTGCAGGTATGCTTAGTTTTAATTGTTTTATAGATTAAAAGATAGGAACTTCCACAATATAAAGCAGGTGGTTGTACCCAGTTCCTAAATTAATGCAGAGATAAATATTTTAATGCATTTTCAATTTTTTTTACAACAATATATCCTCAACGTAACATCCTAAAAATGGTAGGAATCGGTGCACACATTACATTTTCGCGAGGTACACATTTGTGGTCTATCAAATCTGATGTAATGAGTTGGGGCCGCTAGGATACGATCACAAACTGCAGACTTCTTTGGATAATAACGTTAAAGATCTGAACGGATGCCAAACATTCTATAGCAGTTACTGAAATCATAACTATAGAAATGTATAACATTCTTCAATTGATTACAAAATTTTGTAACGTTACGTTATTACACATGCATGGAGATCAAACTAATAAGTGTAAAAAACGTTTGGCTAAGAAAACTGTATTTCTTACAAAAAAATATCATTGAAAACAAATTTCATTCTAATTCATTGTTAAATAATGTTTAGAGCTATGTATATTTATAGCTCTTATCAAAATGTATTCAAACAATGCGTAAATCAAAATTTTCTTTGTATCGTTATAGAATCTTTTTATAAAATAATATGCTAAAGCTGTCCTAGTAATTTGCATTTAATTCAATTTTATTAATAATTAACCTACATATTTTTCTTATATTTAGAACAAAAGAAGACATTTTACGAAATAAATGATACGAATTTATTAAATTAAAAAACTCACAAAACAGAACAAACAGTACCTTTTCTCTGTAGCATCACGAAAATAAAAGGTAAAACATAATTTTTTGCATTACAGTGTTATTAATAAATAATAATTCTCACCATATAATAATCTTTGTTTTATAGTAAACGTTAAAAACATAAGTCAGTTATTGAAACAAAAAATGACTGGCCATCCTGTGATAGAAGAAAATATCTTAGCTTATTCAGGGTTTTTAGAATATAAACAAGATTAATTCAACACTGGAAGTAGCACGTTATACGACGCTGCATTATGGCTGCAGCAGTTTAGGATCGACTGGACCGAGGAACGATCACGCCTGCTCAGAATACTTGTTTAAAATTGCAGTATAATGCTGCTGTCGTCATTATTGTATTAATAATAAAGTAGTATTCATTTTCTCCTACATATCATCAGTAATTTACAATAAACCAAGTAATAGTAAACTTATACAACTAAATAACAGCTATAAATATTAACTAAATAAGACCAGGCCGCTCCATCAACAGAAGTGATATTGCTCTAAAACTATTAATAAAGATTACAACTACTTAAATTAAAAGTACATTAAAATAGACTAGTTCAGTTTGGAGAAACTGGTTAAAAATATTAAAGATATTAGGTGTACATAAAAAGAAAAACCTGTTTTAAATACTTATAATTACCCAACTTTCATCGGAGAAGAAGTATTAAAATTAATATAAATAAAACGCGATAAAATGAGTAGTTTTTCGCGTAATATTCTATTATATTCTAATTATAAGTAATAGAGGTCTATTAAGTGATATTCATGTGTCGGTTGTGTGTATGTGTGAGGGGTGTAAGCGTGTAATGTATATTTAAACAATACGTTATAATAGTTTTTTTGTCTGTTCGTGGTCTAATGATTGAATTGAATGAATTTAGTTAAGGAATTTTTTGTCTCTCTCTTGTTTAACGGATATATTATTTAATAATTTGTTAGCTAGATTATATACGACTGGACCTCTGTACAATTACAGAGGTCCAGTTCAATAAGTATCTTCGAGCAAATAATAAATCGGTAACCGGTATTCATGATACGGAAGTCTTTTGCTTAATATAGGATTGGATTTATTATATTCCGTTTTTGAGTGATATAATAATATTGTCATACTGTACAGTAAATTATGTGACGGTATACGGTGAGCAAGTCACATAATTTGTAGAGTTCGTTTGTTGAAAATAATCTACGTTTTTTACAAGATATATTAAGTAGAACGTGCACAAAGACATTCTAACCTAATCATATGGGTTCTTGGTGCCCCCCCCCCCCAGACGTTACAAAAAAGATTCTTAACTTTTAACTAATGAAGGCTCCTATCCTTCACCTTATTTTCAATAATATTGAATATATTGCTTATACATATAGTACTTTATAATATAGATTTACGTAATTTTTTAAGTTTATATTTTGTTTTGCAAAATTTCCTAGTACAGTGTAAAAAACAAATGAAAATTTTAATGAATACAAAAGTAGAAATTTAATAAAGCATTGCGAAGGATTATAATTGCTCGCACGAGAATGCCGAGGACAATGCACCGATGTTAAATCGCTACATGATCACTTTTTTCTCGAAAATATAGACACATGCTTATTTATTAGTCTAAATTTTTTTTTCTTTATTTATGTACCACTCTTTACTTAGCTATTACGGTATACAGTATGTCAAAACGTAGCAATTAATAATTAAGGAATAATCTCCATACTACGAGAGAGGCCCAAGTCCATCAGTGGACTTTTATTGACTAGTGAAAAAGAAGCACATACCTCTATTAGATTATATAGATATAGACACAAAAAAACTATGTGTCGCTTTAATGATGTTGGTCCAGATATCGTTAAGCTGCTGTTGCCATTTACCATCAGATGGATTAACTACTCGTTTGTCACTCCAATACCATAAATAAAAATGAGTGTGGAACGCACGTGGAGATTAAGTTTAAAAATCATATCATACAGTAAAAACAAAATTTGTAACTATATATCGATGTGATCCTTACAAAATTATCTTTTTTTATAGAAGAGGCGGCTAACGACTATACGGCTTACCCGATGGTAAGTGATTACCGCCGCCCATGAACAACTGCAATACCAGAGGGATTGCAGATGCAGATCTTTCTCTTTTCTATTGATTTGTGTATGTGATGATATTTCAGAATTCCAGGTGATAGTGCGAAAATAAACGTTAAATAACTCCAACAATTGTGTTTCTGTGCTGTAACATTACATTCGTGCCGTGTCACATTGAAATTTAAACCGATTACCTGCCCTACACCTTACTAATGTGCTTTACGCTTTTATTGGCTGTTTTCGTTACTTTAGCTATTGATCCCTTGGCGTGGCGGTTCAACGTAGCGATATTAACTACCAACGGGGGATGTAGTTCCAATCTGTAATGTTCTAAAGTGTAATTTGATTTTAGAAGGGGTCAACAGAAATATAGGTGCAACAGCGGTGAGTCCTCAGGACTTATTAGGTGACAGCGGAGCGCAGAGTGAAACTATGCCAGCAAAAGATCTACAATTGCTTATGATGGAGGTAGGTCAATTCAAAGAGAAAATGATAGCCACACGTCTCCAAGTTAAATTACTGAATGGCAGTTTGGCTGGTCTAGAGCTTAGAATTGATGAAGCAGATGGCAACATTGAAAAGCTAGAAGCCCGTGTGGGTCTTCTAGAAGGTCGTCATGCTGATAGTAGGACGTCGACCGATGTTGGTTCTTTGCTGGGTACAATTAAACTTAACTTAAGTGTGATTTGAACGAGCGTGATGAGGAACTATTGTGTAATGATATAGAGATCACTAACATCCCTGAAGAGAAGGGTGAAAACTTAATACACATTGTCACCACTTTGACCATGAAGTTGAGTGTCATGCTTTCTGAGAATGATTTAGTCAGCGCCACACGGGTGGGAAGGGTAAATGTGTCCCCGGAAACTGTGCCGGAGTCGCACCCGAGTCCTAAAGTTGTGAGGCTCGGCAGACTCGCTCTTGAGGATCAAGTGTTGATAGCAACTCTCGTTCGTTGCGGCATCACCACCAAAGGCACTTGGTTACCAGCTCCGCATCGCCGATTCTACGTCAATGAAAGACTGATGAAAGTCCACCGTTGACTTTTTTGGCAAGCTCGTGAACTCGGAAGTAAACTGGGCTGGCGGTTCATTTGGACAAGGGAAGGCAGGATATACGCGCGCCAGCACCAGGAAGCAGAGTCCTGCGTCTTGAGTCGCGTCGCGACTTGAGACAGGTTTTTGGGGTTGATGCTGTTAGTGGATCTCTCATCAAAAATGATTAACTACATCTGTATATTTTATTATTTATATGGTATTACTTTTATATATATTTCTTGCATAAATCTATTACCATTTGTTAAACAATATCAATTATGTATTACCCACTTGCTTCTTGTTAGCTGTATCCTCTACTGGTAGTTTTTTTCATAGGATTAATATTTTAACCATTGCATTTCATCAGTTTTATATAATAATATAAGCGCTTTAAAATCACCAAATATAAATGAAACGCAATGGAATGTAATACATACTTTGTTAAATGAATTGTATAAAATCTATGATGAAATTCATGACATATTTTCAACTTCCTTTTATCATAACTATGTATTAATATATGTGTCTTATATGTTATAAATATACAGGTGTTGTGTGGGCGTTATTGTAGTGACAACAATTAACCGAAATTGAGAAATAATGCAGCACAATATGACATGTCCATCTCAAAAACTGCTCATTTTGGTCGGTGTTTTTGGAACAATGACTTATTTTTTTTTACGTTGTAATAAAACCACAATCAAAGCTATTTAAGTTAAGTATTTATAATGCGGGATCACTCAACACCGGACATGATCATTTTCTTATTGCTATGAACCGTTATAGTCCAGATATAGTTGCGATTAACGAATCATGGATTCAAAGTGGACCAAATTGAACAGATGTGGTTATCGACTCATGTCAATGGTTATCACGTTGCTTTAGATACTGCGTACAGACCACAATGGATCAATATAGATATATTTATTGACGCTATAACTAACTCCATTAATTACTTTTCGAAGTATGATTTTATTGTATTATTGGGAGATTTTAACATTAACATGATTGTGGAAAGATTTCTTATATTTACGCGAACACTATACTCAGTACATGATTAAAACTACTTTTACGGATTTTATCGCGTTTATTTTTACTTTTTATTTACTTTTATTTTTAATACCCGACGTTTCGGGCGCTTTCGCACCCGTGGTCACGGGGGACTGAGGTGACTGACGTCCCGATGTCAAAGTTAACCCGGAGTACCTTCAGCTTTTTTAATTATTGCTGGAGCTGAAGGTACTCCGGGTTAACTTTGACATCGGGACGTCAGTCATCTCAGTCCCCCGTGACCATGGGTGCTGGAAAGCGCCCGAAACGTCGGGAATTAAAAATAAAAGTAAATAAAAAGTAAAAATAAACGCGATAAAATCCGTAAAAGTAGTTTTAATCATGATTGTGGAAAGTAATAGTAGTACTGTCAAACTTACTCAATTCCTTGATTACATGAACCTCCGTTAAGTTGTCAGTGAGCCGACTCATTACACATCTAATACTGAGACTCTGATAGATCTTGTTTGTACTAATGCCCCAGTTCGTGATGTCACTGTTAACAATATAATGGGTTCCAATGGACACAATGGATATGATGGTGAAATTTTTTTAATTTAATGATGCTCTCTCTCTCTCTCTTCGATAACCATGATGCAGACTGCTGAAAACAATAACCCTAAAATAAATTATTCACTACCATGGGTAACCGATGTCTGTAAAATGATGATCGATGAGCGTAATATGGCTCACGATGTCTATAGAAAACCCGGATCAGACGAACATAGAAAATATTACAAGGGGCTCAAAAGTCTAGTTTTAACAAGTATTTTGGGAGAAAATCCTGCTTAAATAATTTAGTTAATTCTCAAGCTAAAAATAGCTTTTTGGAAAAATTTGAAGGAGAAAATTTTGGTTGACCCCTCGAAAGGCAAATCCTTGCCTCCCCATTTCAATAACCAAGTGGGTGGACAGGAGGAACAGGTCCGTCGTTCGGAAGAGCAGCTGCGGGGCGGACAAGAGGAACAGGCCCGTCGGTTGGAAGAGCAGATGCTCCTCATGAAGGAACTTCACGCTACCTTCGGGAAGGAGATAAAGGAGTTGGGTTGGGAGGTTGCTCAGCATGGCAACCGCCTGTCGGAAGCTGAAACCCAAATCGCGAAAGCTGGAACCCGAACCAAGAAAGCTGAAACCCGAATGAACCAAGTGAACAATCGGGTTGACAATGTGATGGCTGACGTGAAGAGAACGCTGGACGACCGCAAACTGGGGGATAGAATTACAGCTCCCGTAGTGTAGCTACTACGGGAGCTGTAATTCACCTTTAATGTAACACCTTCGATACGTGGGTTCAAAGTGCCGCCGTTCGACGGGACTTCTTCTTGGTCTTTTCTCTCTTTTTTTCTTTTTTTGTTTTTTTCTAAAACGTTACCCCTACACTAAGATTTTCTCTTGTATTGTGGGGTAGTTTACAAACATAAATTGCACAAGGACGAACATCTAGACCCGGAACAACTACTTGTAGGCCATACAAATACTTGTTCTACTGTAATTGCTAAGCCACTGCGCCACGGAGTCGTCACAAAACACGTGATCAGCCTGCAAAATCAAGTTCGAGGCTGTCAAGGAAGCGAACGGCTGGAATAAAAGCCAGGCCATGACTGCACTCACCCTAGGCCTGCGCGACCAAGCCTTAACTGTGTTGGAAGCTCTCGGTAAGAAAGTAACCTACGATCAGCTCCTTGAGGCATTGGAGGTGAGATATGGCGACGCTCATCTGGAACACGTCTTTCGTGCACAGCTTAAAGATTAGGTGCAACGCAGCAACGAAAACCTGCAGCAGTGGGCCCTTGTGGTGGAGAAGATGGTTCGGAAAGCATACCAGTCTGTACCTGCACTCATTGAAGGGATCCTGGTGCAGACATTCATCGACGGCATCCGCGACCTTGAAGTCAGAGCTGCTGTGAGGTTCGGGCACCACGAGACGCTTAAGAACGCATTGGCCCACGCACTGGAGGTGAAAGCCCTGCGGCAGAATCTTCGTTCAAATCGCGTCAGGGAGGTTGCAGCAGCTACAGCAGTTCACGACCGCAATAATGGATACAGCCCTAGGTGCTATGGCTGTGGGGAAAGGGGCCATCTTCGATCCAGCTGCCCTAAGCGATCTGTAAAAAGGGAAGGTGATCGATCTCCAGAGGGTTGTGCGGCTAACAGCACCACCCAGCAGCAGGAATACGACTTTGTGATTGAACACCGCAGCGGGAAATCGCAAGAAAACGCAGATGCATTGCGAGGAGACCTTGTCCTAAAGATTGCAATCATTATATTAGGCAAGAGAGTAAGGAAGTGGTATCCATGAGGATGCTCAGGACAGACCACCCCAGTAACGAATGGAAGGACAGCTTACAACATGCACAGCAGGAAGATCCGGACATCAAGCCGATTCTGGAATGGATGAATGCCCGTGCTACCAAGCCCAAGTGGAGCGACCTCTCAGCGATGAGTTCGACCAATAAAAGCTATTGGGCCCAATGGGACCGCTTGCTGGTTTAGGATGGAATCCTGTGCCGTAAATGGGACAATGGTCTAGGAGACAGCTGTCGTTTGCAAATGTTTGTCCCTAATGCTAAAGTGCCGAATGTTCTACAGCTGTACCATAATGGTTGTTCAGGAGTCCATCTGGGAGTTAAACAAACTCTACTGAAGATCCGAGGGCAGTTTTACTGGGTCCATTATCGTGACGATGTCGAGGATTGGTGTCGCACATGTACAAGTTGTGCGGCTGTGAAGGGACTTCAGACTCGTAGTAGAGGAGCATTGAAATTGTACAATGTTGATGCACCATGGGGTAGGACAGCCCTTGACATTGCGGATCCGTTTCAGAAAGGCGCAAGAGGGACTCCTATGATCGTGCATGTGGATCGCCTGGCGCGCTATTATGGGGCTCATAATGCTCGGGACGAGCATGTCTTAGGAGCCAGCAGTGTTGCGCCCCTAAGTTGACGTCAGGTACCTGGAACTATCGCCATCTGGTGTCGGGGACCAGAGCGAGGAGGGCTTCCTAGAAAATGTCAATCTTTAACTTTCGACCAACAGCGCCATCTAGTATCGAACAGAAGAATTAAGCTTTCTAGAAGCCCCACACTCGAACTGCGTCTGGTCGGTCGGCGCCCGTATTCACTCGAATATTCTGTATGTTGCGGTGTAAAATGTGTATTTAAAGCCGCTGCAAGCCGCGATCGGGGCAGTATTTAATTTGGCGAGACAAGCGAAGCTTCGGAGCGAAATAAAGTGAATCAGTGTGATTAATTTATTAGTGTTTTAAGTTTTAATTAGTGTTCAGTAATAAAAGTACAAATTTTGGTAATTCAATCGGCAGTTTTTAATGTCACGAAGTTCAAGCTGGTAACAATATTTACACTGTAATAATGTTAACGTGCAAATAAATGTATTGTTTTCTTTATTTCTGCTTATACTATTGTGCTCATTTTCTTCTTGCCATCTCGAGGATAATAGCTGAAAATCAGTGTTTGCTCTCTGAGCTATGAACCATTTGTTAAACTGCAACACACGTGTACGTTTAGATCTTAAGTTTATGTACCTTTTTTTTCATAATACTCTGCTTTGTATCTAGTTTAACCACTGAATTTACGTGTGTGATTGGAGAAACAAATAAACGCTTTTATCTATCTATCTATCTATCGTAATCTTGTTAATACTGCCCAGTAGAAATGGATTCGTCAATTGACCTATATATCGAAGTTGGACTTACCGGACATTTTTTCAGGAGTATGTAATCATAGAATACTACTATAATATATATATATATATATATATATATATATATATATATATATATATATATATATATATATATATATATATATATTATGTACATCATCATCAACAACTTCGAGCACAACAACTACCGGTATAGGTGTAACATGGACGTTAAAAACGAATTCTGTCTTGTCCATTTTTATGCCTTGTTTCTATACTATATAGATATTTACATC